AGTAACAATTCCATTTCCAAAAGTCCTGACCAGGTCTGCATCGGCGCCTGCACCTTGTGTGCTCTCCCATTTCTCCAGCACACCAAGCTCACTCCTCTCCTGCAGCCTTTTGTACATGCCGTTCCCTCTGCTTGGCACCATCCGACCCGAGATCTGTCACTCAGGTCCCCTGAGCATGCTGTCCTGACCCCTCAATACAAAGTAATGCTTGGTTATTTTCTCTTCTGTCTCATCTTTCTAGAATGGGGCCAGGCTAGAGCAGTTGCTCCTTGTTGTCAATGAACAAAGCTTGTTGGCCCGTGGATAGCATCGCCATTGCTTTGTTATGTCCAGCCCTGTGGGAGCTGTTGAGGGATGGAGAGGTGGGTGGGACTTAGATCCTCTCCTGAACTGCTTTTAGTATCATTAAAAATAAGAGCCCAGCGCCATTGTCTCAGGCCCATAATCCCAGCTACTCAGGATGCTGAGATCTGAGAATCGTGGTTCATAGTCAGCCTGGGCAGGAAAGTCTGTAAGACTCTTATGTCCAGTGAACCAGGAAAATGTCAGAAGTGGAGCTAGCCTTGAGTAAAAGAAACTTATGAACAGTGCCCAGGCCCTAAGTTCAAGCCCCAAGACCATACCCAAAAAGAAAGAAAGAAAGAGTGGGGGGAGGGAGGGAAGGAGGGATAAGACATGAATCAGTTACTGGTGGCTAATGGCTATAATCCTAGCTACTTGGAAGCTGAGATCTGAGGATCCAGATTTGAAGCCAGCCCAGGCAGAAAAGCCTGTGAGACTTATCTCCAATTAACCACCAAAAAAGCCAGAAGTGACACCGGTGCTCAAGTAGTAGAGTGCTAGCCTTGAGCACAAAAGCTTAGTGACAGGGCTAGGAATGAGGCCTAGCGGTAGAGTGCTTGCCTAGCATGAATGAAGCCCTGGGTTCGATTCCTTAGTATCACATAAACAGAAAAGGCCAGAAGGGGTACTGTGGCTCAAGTGGTAGAGTGCCAGCCTTGAGCCCAGAGAGGCTCAAGGACAGTGCCCAGTGCCCAGGACCAGCAAAAAAAAAAAAAAAAAGAGCTCAGGTTCAGCACATAGGCCATTAGTTCAAGCCCCAGGACTGGCATCCACACAAAAACAGAGATAGTGATTAGATGAGGTTCCAGGCACTGGGTAAAATATTTTCATGGATCAACTCCCAACAGGGCTATTACCCCAGCTGGAAACTGAAACAGACCAAATATTTGCCTGAATTCATACAGCTAGTTGTGGGGGAGAGGACAAGGGCAGGACTTGAACTTGGCCTTCTGAGCCTGAGTATCCCTGGAAATGCCCCAGTACACTCAGTGCTATGACCAAGTGGAGCCGCTAAAATGTGTTAGAGAGAAACTCCTATGAGCACTCGGGTCACTCAGAACAGGCCCACTCACAGGGGAGTAAATAGGCTGCCACTGGGATTGCTGCATTGGCAGCACGCCAGCCAATGGGCATTATTGGTTATAATCACCATAGCTCCTTGGGAGAAGTAATTCTGTGCCAGCCCACTTCATAGGTTTAGATAGGTTGAGAAACTTGCCTGAGGTGTAGGCAGAGACAAGGCAGCTGTTGGACTATCACTCCAGGAGGCCAAGGACCCTATCTGTATTACCTAACATGGTACCTGATGTAAATCTTCCTGTTGAGTTTTGGAGTCTTGTGATTTTTTTTTTTTTTCCAGACTGAGTTTTATTATGTAGCCCAGGCTAGCCTTTAAATTCAGGATCCTCGGGGCTGGAAAGGTGGCTCAGTGGTAGAGCGCTTGCCTTGCATGCATGAGGCTCTGGGTGCCATTCCTCAGCACCACATAAGCAAAAAGAAAAAAGCTGGAAGTGGCACTGTGGCTCAAGTGGTAGAGCGCTAGCCTTGAGCTGAAGAGCTGAGGGACAGAGCCCAGGCCCAGAGTTCAGGCCCCACGACTGGACCCCCAAAACAAAAAATTTAAATAAATAAATAAATTCAGGATCCTCCTGCCTTAGCCTCTTAGTGCTGGGATTACACACCTGTAGCATCATATTCTGCTTGGTTTTGATGAAAATCTATTTCTTGGTAGTACCTGATAGGCAGGCAGTCTACCATTTGAGCCATAGTCCCAACACTTTTTTCTTCCTTTAGCTTTGTTTTTGAGGCCACAGACCATGAACATTCTGCCCATGTCTCTCTAATAACTGAGATCACACAGGCATGTGTCACCATGCTTATTTGTTAAGATGGGGTCTTTTTTTTTTTTTGGTCGGCCGTGGGGCTTGAACTCTGGGCATGGGTGCTGTCCCTCAGCTCTTCAGCTCAAGGCGAGCGCTCTACCACTTGAGCCACAGCGCCACTTCCGGTTTTCTGGTGGTTTTTGGAGATAGGAGTCTCATGGTCTCTCCTGCCCGGGCTGGCTTTGAACCATGATCCTCAGATCTCAGCCTCCTGAGTAGCTAGGATTACAGGTGTGAGCCACCAGCGCCCGGCTAAGATGGGGTCTTTTGCTAACCTTTTGCCCATGTTGGCATGGAACTTTGATCTTCCCTGTTCGTACGTCTAGAGCAGCTAGGATTACAAGTATAAGCTATCTCACTTTGCTTATGTGTGTGTGCACACACATGCCAATACTGAGGGTTTACCTCAGTGCCTCTTTGCTGCCCCTTAGCTCTTTGCTCAAGGCTACTGCTCCACCACTTGAGCCATAGCTCCACTTCTAGCTTTTTGCTGATTAACTGGAGATCAGAGTCTCATGGACTTTCTTGCCCCACCTGGTTTTGAACCTCAAATCCTCAGATCTCAGCTTCCTGAGTCACTAGGCTTACTGGCGTGAGCTACCACACCATGCTTGTTGGTGTGGTAGGAAGGGAAGAAAACACATAGCAAGGCTGGGAAGGTGGCTCAGTGGTAGAGCGCTTGCCTTGCATGCCTGAGGCCCTGGGTTCAATTCCTCAGCACCACATAAGCAAAAAGAAAAAAGTTGGAAGTGGCACTGTGGCTCAAGTGGTAGAGCGCTAGCCTTGAGCTGAAGAGCTGAGGGACAGAGCCCAGGCCCAGAGTTCAAGCCCCATGACTGGACCCAAAAAAAAAAAAAGAAAACACATAGCAATTTATATGCTTCTCCATAATCCATAATAATTCCTTCTTCTAGGGCTATTATAAGGGCTAAATTAGATAAGCTGAACATCAAACAGAGTTGGGCCCAAGAGCTCACTGAAAACTCACTGCTCTGTGGCTGTTGTAATGATTCTGCTTTCTATTCAAATTGTTCCTTACTGCTATGGTCTCTCTGTCTCATCCACCCAGGTTCAGAAGTGCAACTTCTGGAGTATGAAGCCTCAGCTGCAGGCCTCATCCAGTCCTTCTGTGAGCGTTTCCCAGAGGATGGACCTGAGTTGGAGGAGATCCTCACCCAGCTGGCCACTGCAGACGCCCGATTCTGGAGAGACTCCACCAGGACCCCGTTATCCTACTAGGCTTGAGAGATCAGTGTGGCTCCTTTCCCCACTGAGTCACCTTGTGCTGTTATGTGTAATTGGCAGGAGCTGGGACTTTGGTGCTACCTCAGCAGAGGGAGGTGACACTAATAGCTCCTGTCAGGACTTTCCAATTTACTTGAGTGCTTCCCCTCTGCTGCTTGATCGCACTGCCATCTGTGGAGTGAGCACAACAGGGCCTCTAGTCCAGTTTTCAGATGAGGAAGTGGTAGTTCTGAGATGTGACTGGTCTAGATCCCGCTGGTGGTATGTGACAGAGCCAGGGCTTAAAAAACGCTCTCACCAAATCCAATGCTCTTCATGTATTACTTTTATAACAGAAAAAAATAAATAATCTGAAACCATCACCAACCAACCTTGCATTGCATTTTGTGATCTTCCTGTTTTGTTTTGTTTTGTTTTTTTAAGGATCCTCAGATCTCAGCCTCCTGAGTAGCTAGGATTACAGGTGTGAGCCACTGGCTCCTGATTCCTCCTGGACTCTGGGGGAAAACTGTGGAATCAAAACCTGGGGAGAGGGCAGAGGTCACTTTTGTCTTTTAGTCCACAGGATCTTGACATCCTCTCTAAAGGAGGATGCACAGTCACAGCATGCTTGTAGTCCACCTTTATGGCATTTCCCGTGATTAAAAAAATCTTGATGGGGCTGGGAAGGTGGCTCAGTGGTAGAGTGCTTGCCTTGTATGCATGAGGCTCTGGGTTTGATTCCTCAGTACCACATAAGCAGAAAAAGCTGTGGCTCACGTGGTAGAGCACTAGCCTTGAGCTGAAGAGCTGAGGGACAGCGCCCAGGCTGAGTTCAAAAAAAAAAAACGACAGGAAGCCAGGTGCTGGTGGCTCATGCCTGTAATCCTAGCTACTCAGCAGGCTGAGATCTGAGGATCATAGTTCATAGCCAGCCCAGGGAGGAAACTCCGTGAGACTCTTATCTCTAATAAATCACCAGAAAACAGGAAATGGTGCTGTGGCTCAAGTGGTAGAACAGTAGCCTTGAGCTGAAGAGCCGAGGGACAGCTCTCAGGCCCAGAGTTCAAGCCCCACGATGGACAAAAAGAAAAGAAAAGAAAAGAAAACTTTACAGGAGCTTATAATTAGAAACGTTAACTTCAGTTAGGACCCTCTCCATTGCCCTTTCACGCTGGTGTTTTGCATCTCTTCAGTGAAGATAGCTTACAGTCAGGCAGCCAGAAGGGACTTGGCCCTTCTAGGGTTAACCATGAAGATGAAGCCTTTTTGGCGCTCATAAACTCTAGCAGGGGCTCTCCTCTCTCACTGCCGGGAAGGCAAACTACGCCGCTCTTGCTCCCAGCATGTAAGGCCCAGAAACCATAAATCAAAATAAGCCGGGATAGGGGCTGCCCCTCAGCGGGCGGCGCCCAGCAGAGGCGCCAAAGCCTCCATCCCGCCTGGGGATTCCGCGCCGGAACCTTTGTGCTGGAGCTTTTACAGTATCGCCCCCCACGGGGGGGCAGGATTGGGCGGTGCGCGGCGGCGGGGGCGGGGCAGGTTGCCAAGGCGACGGCTGGGAAGATGGCTGCTCCGTCTTCATCGGATTCCGACCCCAGCCGAGTTCAGAGGTGAAGACTGGGGGTCACAATCTTCCTTACAAATGTGCAGAGGGAGTCTGGTGCCGGGGCGCGGGGACCCTAAGCTTTTCAGGCAGCGCTAGAAATCCTCCTAGGGCTCTTCGAGCTAGTGCAAGCCGTGCTTGCCAGTGTCACGGTGGGGGGACCCCAGGCGTGGACCCCGACCTTCTGCGCTGCAGCCCGGGGGCTCTCCGCGCTCCTCGGGGTCAGAAACCGCTTCCCTCAGCGTGCTCTTCCTCCCCGGGGAGACTCGATCCCCAACTCTCCCCCCCCCCCCCCCCCTTCCAGTAACGAGACCAACTCGAAATGGCTGGACGCGCACTACGACCCCCTGGCCAACATCCACACCTTCTCAGCCTGCCTGGGTGAGTGGAACCCCGGCTTCTAGAAGAACGAGGGGGGTGGAAAGTTAGCCTGCGGTGAAACTCACAGGGTTTTGAGACCGATTCATGGCCCTTTTGTGTCTTCCAGCGTTAGCAGATTTGCATGGGGACGGGGAGTACAAGGTAAGCCATCCGCCGAGAGCGGGGTGGGCTGGGAGGGGAGCCAGAAGGTTGGCTTCAAGGAAGCTCGACTTAATCTGGAATTCACGAGTACTAAAAGCAAAACAAAACAACATGCAATCTTAAATTCTATTTTCACTGAGAAGGTGAAAATAATATAGGCAGCAGAGGGGGAAAAGAAACCCGTTACTGGAGATTCTACCAATGTAAAGCCTCCTAATTTAGATAACTTGACCTGATACTTTGCTGAGAAGATAAATCCTTTGAATCCTGTGCCTGGGTCTGGGCATTAGAATCTGGAGGGAAAGTAAAGGAAGGAAAAGTGAGAGCATTTGTTTTGTTTTTCTGTACCAGGATTTGAACTCAGGACCTCACTCTTGTTGCTTTGCCACTTAAGCCAAGCTCCTAGGTGGTTTTGTTCTTTTTTTTTTGCTTGGACTATAATCACCTGTTTATGTCTCCAAAGTAGCTGGGGTGAAAGACACTTGCCACCATGTGTGGCAGTTTTTTGTTTTTGTTTTTTGGTGGTCCTGGGGTTTGCACTCAGAATCTTGTTTTTGCTAAACAAGAGCACTCTACCAATTGAACCATGCCTTCTGCCCTACACATGTTTTTGTTGAGATAAGGTGGGATGGTTAGCTAACTTTTTGCTAGGCTGATCTCAAACCACTATCCTCCCAACCTCCACCTCCAGAGTAGCTGCCATTACGGATATCTGCCATACCTAGCTAGAGTTTTATGTTTATCTAGAGGGAATACATGGCTGGTGTCAGTGATTCATACCTCTAATCCTAGCTACTCAAGGAGGCTGAGATCATGGTTTGATCTCCAATTAACCAGCAAGAAAAAGCTGGAAGTGGGAGCCAGGCGCCAGTGGCTCATGTCTGTAATCCTAGCTACTCAGGAGGCTGAGATCTGAGGATCGAGATTCTAAGCCAGCCCAGGCAGAAATATCCGTGAGACTCTAATCTCCAATAAACCACTAGAAAACTGGAAGTGGTGCTGTGGCTCAAGTGGTAGAGCGCTCACCTCGAGCTGAAGAGCATAGGGACAGCGCCCAAGCCCAGAGTTCAAGCCCCACGACTGACCAAAAAAAAACAAAAAACTGGAAGTCGGGCTAGGAAGGTGGCTCAGTGGTAGAGTGGTTGCCTTGTATACATGAGGCCCTGGGTTTGATTCCTCAGCACCACATAAGCACAAAAAGCCAGAAGCTGTGCTATGGCTCAAGTGGTAGAGCACTAGACTTAAGCTGAAAAAAAAAAAGCTGGATGTGGAGCTGTGGCTCCAGTGGTAGGGCAGTAGCCTTGAGCAAAAATCAGAGACAGCATCCAGGCCCTGAGTTTAAGCCCCAGTATTGGCACACACAAAAAAAGGAGGAATGGTTTTTTTGTTGTTTTTTTTTTTAAATGTCGGTCATGGGGCTTGAACTCTGGGCCTGGGCACTGTCCCTCAGCTCTTCAGTTCAGGATAGCACTATACCACTTGAGCCACAGTACCACTTCTGGTTTTCTGGTGGTTTATTGGAGATAAGAGTCTCATGGAGGGCTGAGAAGGTGGCTCAGTGGTAGAGTGCTTGCCTTGCATGCATGAGGCTCTGGGTTCGATTCCTCAGCACCACATAAGCAAAAAGAAAAAAGCCGGAAGTGGCGCTGTGGCTCAAGTGGTAGAGCGCTAGCCTTGAGCTGAAGAGCTGAGGGACAGCACCCAGGCCCAGAGTTCAGGCTCCACGACCGGACCCCCCCCCCCCCCAAAAAAAAAAAAAAAGAGTCTCATGGACTTTCTTGCCCGGGCTGGCTTTGAACCATGATCCTGAGATCTCAGCTTCCTGAATATCTAGGATTACAGGCGTGAGCCACTGGTACCTGGCGGAATAATAATTTTCTTTTGTGTGTGCTAGTATTGGAGTTCTAACTCAGGGCCTTGGTGCTCTCCATTAGCTTTTGTGCTCAAGGCTGATGCTCTACTGCTTCAGCCATAGCTTTACTTATGGATTTGTGTGTGTGCGCGCGTGCCAGTTCTGGGACCTAAACTCAGGGTCTGGGCATTGTCCCTGAGCTTTTGTGCTCAAAGCAAATGCTCTGCCACTTGAGCCATAGCTCTGCTTCTGGCTTTTTGGTGGTTAATTGGAGATCAGAGTCTCATACGACTTTCCTACCTGGGATGGCTTTGAACCAGAATCCTCAAATCTTCCCCCTAAGTAGGATCACAAATATGAGACACTGGCACCTTGATGCACTTACCTGATTCTGTAATTCATTATCTCATTGGATTTTCTCCATTTATGTCATGAAGTAAGCATTCCTATTTTGCTACTGAGGAACTAAGTTCACAAAGGTTTCATTAACTTTCATGTACCAGAGTACATGGCTTGTAAGGCTGAGGGCAAAGTCTTTGTTGGGTGAATTAAGAAGCACAGCAAAGCCAGGTACTAGTGCCTGTAATCCTAGCTACTCAGGAGGCTGAGATCTGAGGATCATCGTTCAAAGCCAGTCCAGACAGGAAAAGTCCATGAGACTCTAATCTCCAATAAACCACCAGAAAACCAGAAGTGGCGCTGTGGCTCAAGTGGTAGAGCTCTCACCTTGAGCTGAAGAGCTGAGCGACAGTGCCCAGGCCCAGAGTTCAAGCCCCATGACCAACAAAAAAAGAAGAAGCACAGCAAAAAGCCAATAAGAGATCTTCTCTCTGTAGCTGGTGGTGGGTGACCTTGGCCCTGGTGAGCAGCAGCCCCGACTGAAGGTATTCAAAGGACCCACAGTGCTGACAGAAAGCCCGCTGCCTTCCCTGCCAGCTGCGGCCGCCACCTTTCTCATGGAGCAACACGAGCCTCGGACTCCAGCCCTAGCACTTGCTTCGGGTCCATGTGTCTATGTGTATAAGAATCTGAGACCCTACTTCAAATTCAGCCTACCTCAGTTGCCTCCAAACCCTGTGGAACAAGACCTTTGGAATCAGGCCAAGGAGGTCAGTAACAGGAGATGGCATCCAGAAGGCAAAGATAGTAGGCACTGGGTATGGACCAGGCCCCAGTTAGAGGAGTGGACTCCCAATAGGGAGAGGTAGGCCATCACTCCTGTCCAGAGACAGCAGTGGTGGCTCTTCTGGGACACCAAGAAGGAAGGAGCCTGCCAGACGGGGGGTCAGGACTGGAACAGGAGGTGTTGAGGAATACATGGATAAACAGGGTAACAAGCAAAGCCCTGCTGCTGACGCTGGACTCAAATCAAGAGCTTGGGGCTCAGGGCTGAGGAAGGTTGGGAAGGAAATTGAAAGGAAAAGGAACCCCCAGAAGCATAAAGGGCCCTGACAGCATGGGTGCTGGGACTCACAGGCTCTTTCTTTCCTGTCACAGGACCAAATTGACCCCTTAACCCTGAAGGAGATGCTGGAGAGCATCCGGTGAGAGCCCCTTACCCTCCATGTCCTTCTCCACTTCCTTTTTTTTGGGGGGTGGGGGTCCAGTCATGGGGCCTGAACTCTGGGCCTGGGCGCTGTCCCTCAGCTCTTCAGCTCAAGGCTAGTGCTCTACCACTTGAGCCACAGCACCACTTCCAGCTTTTCTCTTTTTGCTTATGTGGTGCTGAGGAATCGAACCCAGGGCCTCATGCATGCAAGGCAAGCACTCTACCACTGAGCCACCTTCCCAGCCCACCTTCTCCACTTCTTTATCCCCAACCTCACCCCACATGCCCAGAGGTTAATTCCTCTACTAAACTTGCCACACTGGCCACTCTCCTTGCAGGGAGAAGGCAGAAGTACCTTTGTCTGTACAGTCCCTCAGGTAAGAGTCCTGTGCAGGTATATGTATGGGTGTGGGGGGGTGTTGGGGAGTAGCTGCAGACAGGCCCCAGGGCAGCCAGGCTAGGCTTGTAGATGTCTGTTCTCTGTGTTGCCCAGGTTTCTGCAGTTGGACCTGAGTGAAATGGAGCCGTTTGTGAACCAGCACAAGTCCAAGTCCATCAAGCGGCAGGTAATGCTGCATGTGTGTACGTGCTGTTGGAGCTTGAACTCAGGGCCTGAGCACTGTCCCTTAGCTTTTCCCTTCAAGACTCATCACTTGAGCCACAGTGCCACTTCCAGCTTATTGCTTGTTAATTGAGGAGTTTCTTGGACCTTTTTTTTTTTTTTTTGGTCGGTCGTGGGACTTGAACTCTGGGCCTGGGTGCTGTCCCTCAGCTCTTCAGCTCAAGGCGAGCGCTCTACCACTTGAGCTACAGCGCCACTTCCGGTTTTCTGGTGGTTTATTGGAGATAGGAGTCTCACTGTCTCTCCTGCCCGGGCTGGCTTTGAACCGCGATCCTCAGATCTCAGCCTCCTGAGTAGCTAGGATTACAGGCGTGAGCCACCAGTGCCCGGCTTTCTCTTGGACCTTTTTGCCTGAGCTGGCTTAACCATGATGATCAGATCTCAGTCTCCTGAGTAGATAGGATTATAGGCCTGAGCCACTGATGCCTAGTTTTCTTTTTCAATGTGATGATCACACAGGTGTAACTAATTCATCCAAAGAAAACATTTTGAAGCGGTGACGTTGTGCAAAAAATGTACTCTTTACCTGACTTATGTAACTGTAACCCCTCTGTACATCACTTTTTCTTTTTTCTTTTTTTTGGTCAGACATGGAGCTTGAACTCTGGGTCTGGGCGCTGTCCCTCAGCTCTTCAGCTCAAGGCTAGCACTCTACCTCTTGAGCCACAACACCACTTCCGGCTTTTTCTGTTTATGTGGTGCTGAGGAATCGAACCCAGGGCCTCATGCATGTGAGGCAAGCACTCTATCACTGAGCCACCTTCCCAGCCCCTATCACTTTTATAATAACAATTAAAAAAAGAAAAAGAGCCAGGTACTGGTGGCTCACACCTGTAATCCTAGCTACTCAGGAAGCTGAGATCTTATAGTCATGGTTCTAAGCCAGCCAGTGCTCTTATCTCCAATTAATCACAAAAAGAGTCAGAAGTGGCACTGTGGCTCAAGTGGTAGACTGCTAGCCTTGAAAAAGGAGCCCAGGGGGCTGGGAAGGTGGCTCAGTGGTAGAGCGCTTGCCTTGCATGCTCAAGGCCCTGGGTTCGATTCCTCAGCACCACATAAGCAAAAAGAAAAAAGCCGGAAATGGCGCTGTGGCTCAAGTGGTAGAGCGCTAGCCTTGAGCTGAAGAGCTGAGGGACAGTGCCCAGGCCCCACGACCGGACCCAAAAAAAAAAAAAAAAAGGAGCCCAGGGACAGTACCCAGATCTAGAATTCAAGCCCCAGGACTGGAAAGAGAGAGAGAGACAGAGAGAGAGAGAGAAAGAGAGAGAGAGGAAGAGGGAGGGGATAGAAAAAGCAGCCGGGTGCTGGTAGCTCACACCTATAATCCTAGCTACTCAGGAGGCTGAGATCTGAAGATCACGGTTCAAAGCCAGCCCGGGCAGAGAAGTCCATGAGACTCTGATCTCTAATTAACCACTAGAAAACCGGAAGTGGTGCTGTGGCTCGAGGTAGAGCGCTCACCTTGAGCTGAAGAGCACAGGGACAGCGTCCAGGCCCAGGCCCATAGGAGACATTCCCTTTAAAAGGGCATCCCTAGCCGGGCGCTGGTGGCTCACGCCTGTAATCCTAGCTACTCAGGAGGCTGAGATCTGAGGATCGCGGTTCAAAGCCAGCCCGGGCAGGAGAGACCATGAGACTCCTATCTCCAATAAACCACCAGAAAACCGGAAGTGGCGCTGTAGCTCAAGTGGTAGAGCGCTCGCCTTGAGCTGAAGAGCTGAGAGACAGCGCCCAGGCCCAGAGTTCAAGTCCCACGACCGACAAAAAAAAAAATAAATAAAAAATAAAAGGGCATCCCTAGGGCTAGGAGGTGGCTCAGTGGTAGAGGGCTTGGCTTGCTATGCCTGAGGCCCTGGGTTCGATTCCCCAGCACTACATAAGCAAAAAGCCGGAAGTGGCGCTATGGCACAAGTGGTAGAGTGCTAGCATTGAGCTGAAGAGCTGAGGGACAGCGCCCAGGCCCAGAGTTCAGGCCCCACAACCGGACCCCCCCCCCCCAAAAAAGGGCATCCCTAGCCAGGCACCAATGGCTCATGTCTGTAATTCTAGCTAGTCAGAAGGCTGAGATCTGAGGAGAGGATCAAAAGCAGCCCAAGCAGGAAAGTCCATCAGACTCTTATCCCCAATTAACTACCCAGAAAAAGCTGCAAGTGGAGTTGTGGCTCAAGCAATAGAGTACTAGGCTAGACTTAAGCACAAAGAGGCTCAGAGATGGAGCCCAGAACCTAAGTTCAAGTCCCAAGACCAGGAAAAAAAAAAAGAAGAAAATCGTTTTTCTTTATTTTGATGTCCAGTTATAATTACGAAAAGAATGTATGCCTACTGTAAAAATTCTAGAAAAGCACTGTTGTCGAGAAAAACACCAGTGTTTGTGTTTGAGGACTTAGTCTTCTAGCATATTTGGTTTGTTTGTTTGTTTGTTTGTTTGTTTTGGGTCCGGTTGTGGGGCCTGAACTCTGGGCCTGGGCACTGTCCCTCAGCTCTTCAGCTCAAGGCTAGCGCTCTACCACTTGAGCCACAGCACCACTCCTGGCTTTTTTCTTTTTGCTTATGTGGTGCTGAGGAATTGAACCCAGGGCCTCAGGCATGCAAGGCAAGCGCTCTACCAGTGAGCCACCTTCCCAGCCCCTTCTAGCATATTTGTATGTTCACTTTTTTTGTTGTTGTTGTTTTTGTGCCAGTCCTGGGGCTTGAACTCAGGGCCTGGACACTGTCCTTGAGCTTCTTTTGCTCAAGGCTAGCACTCTACCACTTGAGCCACAGTACCACAACTGTCTTTTTCTGAGCAGTTTATTGGAGATAAGAGTCTCATGGACTTTTTATTTCATACTTCAGAGCTAGCCTCCTAAGTAGCTAGGATTACAGACATGAGCCACCAGTGCCTAGCCTGTTCATGTTTTTAAACTGGGATTATGTTAACATTTTGCCTATTCTTTCCCTTCCATTATAAGCGTTTTCCATGTCACTGAGACTTAATTTAAAGTGTTTTTTAAAGACGACATTGTTTTTGATCAGAAGGATAACTCCTAAGTGACTTTTTTTTATTAATTAATTAATTTATTTTTTATTATGAAAATACTGTACAGAGGGGTTACAATTACATGGGCATCCTAAGTGACTTTTAATGATGTTCTTTTTTTTTTTTTGTCCATTGTGGGGCTTGAACTCTAGGCCTAAGGGCTATCCCTCAGCTCTTCAGCTCAAGGCTAGCACTCTACCACTTGAGCTACAGCGCCACTTCCGGTTTTCTGGTGGTTTATTGGAGCTAAGAGTCTCATGGACTTTCCTTCCCGGGCTGGCTTTGAACTGAGATCCTCAGATCTCAGCCTCCTGAGTTGCTAGGATTACAGGCGTGAGCCACTGGTCCCTGGCCAATGATGTTCATTTGTTAGGTAGTTAGATTTGTTGCAGTAAACACCATAGCACATAAAAATTTTGTGACAGGGCTGGGAAGGTGGCTCAGTGGTAGAGCGCTTGCCTTGCATGCTCAAGGCCCTGGGTTCGATTCCTCAGCACCACATAAGCAAAAAGAAAAAAAAAAAGCCAGAAGTGGTGCTATGGCTCAAGTGATAGAGTGCTAGCCTTGAGCTGAAGAGCTGAGGGACAGTGCCCAGGCCCAGAGTTCAGGCCCCACGACTGGACCAAAAAAAAAAAATTTGTGACATTTCTAATGCTTCTTCCTCCTCCTCTGCCCTCTTTATTCCCTCCTGGGGTATCTGGGGAGATGGTGGGGGTGTTCCTTGAGTAACCCCTGGAGTCCTCCTACAGACGGTCATCACCACCATGACCACCCTGAAGAAGAACCTGGCTGATGAGGACGCCATATCCTGCCTGGTCCTGGGCACTGAGAACAAGGAGCTCCTAGTGCTTGACCCCGAGGCCTTCACAATTTTGGCCAAGGTCAGTGTCAGGTCTGGCCCTGAGCAAGACCCCCTGCGTTCTCTCTCTGCGATTCCAGTTAGTTCTAAGCAATATACGTTCATTGTAGAAAAATTAGGAACTATAGATAAACATAAGGAAAATATGCCAGGTGCTTGTGGCTCATGCCTGTAATTCTAACTACTCAAGAAGCTGTGATCTGAGGATTACAGTTCAAAGCCAGCTTAGGCAGGAAAGTCCATGAGACTCTTATCTCCAATTAACCACCAGAAAACCAGAAGTGGTACTGCGGCTCAAGTGATAGAGCGCTTACCTTGAGCTGAAGAGCTCAGGGACAGGATCCAGGCCCAGAGTTCAAGCCTCATGACCATCAAAAAAACACATTAGCATTGTAAGGGCCATGTACACCCATTACATAGATACATCATATACAGATGTATTTACTCTGTCCTGGAATACATTCAGTGTTTTCAGTTTTTCATTATTACTAATTTCACTGCAGTAGTCTTCTTTTCTCAGTATCTTTGTGTGTATAAGTACTTCTGACCATGCCTCCTCTAGGCAGCAATATATAAACTAAAGGGTTTTGTTATTGTTTTGTGCTGGTTGGTTCTGGGGCTTGAACTCGGGGTCTGGGCCCTGTCCCTAAACTTTGTTGTTCAAGGCTAGCACCACTTTGAGCCATAGCTCCACTTCCAATTTTCTGGTAGTTAATTGGAGATAAGGGTCTCAGGGACTTTCCTGCTTGGGCTAGCTTCAAACCTTCATCCTCAGATCTCAGTCTCCTGAGTAGCTAGGATTCCTAAAAGGTTTTTTGTTTTTGTTTTTTTTGAGTCCAGTCATGGGTCCTGAACTCTGGGCCTGGGCGCTGTCCCTCAGCTCTTCAGCTCAAGGCTGGCACTCTACCACTTGAGCCACAGCGCCACTTCCGGCTTTTTTTCTTTTTGCTTATGTGATGCTGAGGAATCCAGGGCCTCATGCATGCAAGGCAAGCACTCTACCACTAAGCCACCTTCCCAGCCCCTCCTAAAAGGTTTTTTTGTTTGTTTGTTTTACATAATGCCAAGCTTCCCTCCAACACAGAATGAGTGAGGAGATTAGGACTTCAGACAAGGAACATACCAGGGAGGGACTGTGCTCTGAGAAGTCAAGATGTTTGTGCCCTTTCTTTACAGATGAGCCTCCCCAGCGTCCCTGTCTTCCTGGAGGTTTCTGGCCAATTTGATGTAGAGTTCCGGCTTGCAGCCGCCTGTCGCAATGGAAGCATCTATATCCTGAGAAGGTAGCTATGTCAGGAGTGTGGGGAATGGCTTAGAAACCTGGTGATTTCCAAAGTTTGCAAGATGAGCCAGGAGCTTTTGGAGCTGGAATTTGGGGATGAAAAGAGCTGAGATTTTTTTTTTCCGGGATGGAGGGGATCAGTCACGGGGCTTGAACTCAGGGCCTGGGCGCCATCTCTGAGCTCATTCTCTCAAGGCTAGTGCTATATTGCTTTGAGCCACAGCTCCACCTCCAGTTTCGGATAGTTAATTGGAGATGAGTCTCAAGGAGACTTTTCTGCCTGGATTAGCTTCAAACTTCAATCCTCAGATCTTAGCCTCCTGAGTCACTAGGATTACAGGCATGAGCCACCAGCACCGGGCTAAAGCTGTGAATTTTACAAAGAGTCTGAACCCACACATGTAAATAGTGTCTGAAAGCTTGAGATGGGAGCTAGCAAAGAGAAAACCCCCCAGCAGGGCGTTAATGCTTCACCAGTGTGTGCTGTCACAAGGTGGAAGGAGCAGAAATGGCAGTATTTATCACATCACTTTATAGTGTACTTTATAGTACTCCACCATTAGTTTGATAGTCTAAACGTTATTTATGGGCTGGGAAGGTGGCTCAGTGGTAGAGCGCTTGCCTTGCATGTATGAGGCCTGGGTTCCATTCCTCAGCACTACATAAGCAGAAAAAGCCAGAAGTGGCGCTGTGACTCAAGTGGTAGAGCGCTAGCCTTGAACTGAAGAGCTGAGGGACAGCGCCCAGGCCCAGAGTTCAGGCTCCACAATCAAAAAAAAAAAACAAACACCTTATTTATTTACTTAATTATTTATTTGTGCTGCTACTAAGGCTTAAATTTAAGGCCTAGGTGCTGTCCCTTAGCTTTTTTTTTTTTTTTTTTTGCTCAAGGTTAGCATTCTACCACTTGAGCGACAGCTCCACTTTCAGCTTTTTGTTATTGTTGTTGTTGTTACTAATTGGAGATAAGAGTCTCACAGACTTTCCTGCCTATGCTGGCTTTGTACCCCAATCCTCAGATCTGTCTCCTGAATAGCTAGGATTACAGGCATGAGCCACCAGTACCTGGCCACTATGTGGTTTTAATCAGAAGAGTGATGTGATATATAGATATCTATTTTTTAATTACTCTGGTTAGGTGTGGTGGCACAGGCATGTATGTATAGTACCAGAAGTCAGGGGGCTAAAGCAGGAAGATTACTTAAGCCCACAAGTTCACTACAACATAGCCAGACCCTGTCTAAAAAAAGACAAAACAACACCTTTCTGGGTGGAGGGTGGAGGAGGCCCTGAAGGCTAGGGGAAGGGAGCTGCAGGCCTTAGTCCTCAGAGGAGACATGATATTGGCTTGAAGAAGAGTGAGCGGTCATTGTAGGCCCGAATCTCTGCTTTTTGGACAGTAGAAACTAGGATGAAAAAGTATGGGGACTGAAAACTCTGCATCCATACTCATAGTATAGAATCTTCATCTATTCTGATAAACTGCCCAGGTCCACTAGCACTGGCCACATGAGGCCAAAGTGAGCTCACTCAAAGCTCTGTTAATACCAGGCTCGTACACAGGTGACCCCAGTGAAGGTGGAAGGGACAGGGTTAGAAAACACACTTGATGTTACCCGGTCTCACACATCCTCTCAGTGGCAGAGGTGAAAAAGGATTCTCTGGTGCCAAACTGCTGTTTTTATCCCACAGAGACTCCAAACGCCCCAAGTATGTCATCGAACTGAGTGCCCAGCCGGTGGGGCTTGTCCGGGTACACAAGGTCCTGGTGGTGGGCAGCACCCAAGACAGCCTGCACGGCTTCACCCACAAGGTGTGGCTCCCAGCGAGCCCTTGTCGTCGATCCCCACCCCCACCCCCCATCTGCCCCAGGTGCTGCCGGGAGAACCTTCTGGCTTCCCCTGCCCTGCAATTCCCCTGCCCCTTCTTTCCCCTTGAAGCCCTGAGCCTCCTGCAACACCGGCTATTTCCCCGCTAGGGTAAGAAGCTGTGGACAGTGCAGCTGCCCGCCACCATCTTGACCATGAACCTCCTGGAGCAGCGCTCGCGGGGCCTGCAGGCTGTCATGGCTGGGCTGGCCAATGGCGAGGTCCACATCTACCGCGACAAGGCCCTGCTCAATGTCATCCGCACCCCAGTGAGCCCCTCTTCTGAGATCTGCCTCTGGCTCCTCCTCACCTCAGTCCCATCCATGCTTTCTCACCTGACCTCACATCCGGGCATCTGGGAAACATTTGTTGAGAGCTAGAGTGAGGCTCCATGGTATAGTGCTTGCCTGGCATACACAGACCCTGGGTTTGATCCCCATTGCAAAACAAACCCAAATGTCTGTTGGACTGAGGGGCATGAGTCAGGTGGTAGAGTATTTGCTTAGTAAGGCAGAGGCCCTGGTAATCTGCAGTGCACAGGGAGAGGGCCATGCACGTGGTAAACCCCTTGTATGTACAAATCACTCTTATCGGGGAGGCATAAGCCCTCGTTTTTAGGGAGAGTACAATCGAAGGCGACTAGCTAGGAACTAATGGAGGCATTAGGAAAGCACAGAGAGAGCCAAGAGATGGGGAGGAGGACTGGGGATGAAATTCATGGGGCACCACAGAGTGAGCAACCATTTATCCACCTGGCAAATCAGATTACCAGCTAGACAGATGGCAGAACATTCCAGCCAACAAAGACTGACAAGCTTGAAGATTTTTTTTTTTTTCTGTGTGCGTGCTGGTACTGAGGCTTGAACTCAGTGCCTGGGCGCTGTCCCTGGGCTTTTTTGCTCAAGGCTAGTCCTCTACCACTTGAGCCACAGTGCCACTTCTGGCCATTTGGTGGCTAATTGGTGATAAGAGTGTCAAGCCAGGCAGTGGTGGCTCATGTCTGTAATCCTAGCTACTCAGGACGTTGAGATCTGAGATCACAATTTGAAGCTAGCCTGTGCAGGAAAGTCCTTGAGACTCATCTCCCATTAATCACAGAAAAAGCCAAAAATCGAGCTGTGGCTAGTCTTGAGCAAAAGCAGCTCAGGGACAGTGCCCAAGTGCTGAGTTCAAGCCCTAGAACCCACTCCCACCCACCCCACCCTCCAGCCCCCACACAAATTGGGTAATCAGCAACATTTTAAAAATTAAGAAAACCAGACACCAGTGGCTCATGCCTGTAATCCCAGCGACTCAGGAGACTGAGATGTGAGGATTGAGGTGTGAAGCCAGCCTGGGGGAGGGAAAGTCCATGAGACTCTGGTCTCCAATTAACCACCTGAAAAACAGAAGTAGAGCTGTGGCTCATAATGGTAGAGCACCAGCCTTGAGCAAAAGAGCTCAGGGACAGCATCCAGGCCCTGAGTTTAAGCTCCACAAGTGACAAAACCATACACCAAACCAAAACTTAAGAAATTTCAGAGTGTATCAGATGTAAGAGTGGTTTGTATGTTTGTCTGTATACATTGTCTTAGGCCTCAATATAAAATCAAAGAGCAACTGGTTTGGGACTTGGGAGGGCAGGGGATGGGGATAGGTAAAAAGGAGAATGTGGATAATTTCTGAAAGGCTGATGTGCCATGACAAACAGGAGGACAAAAGCCATTAGAGGTTTTTTGGGGGGAAGGGGCTGTTTTCTTCTTTTCCTTTTGGAGGTACTGGTGTTTGCACTCAGGACCTTGTGTTTGCTAGGCAGGTACTTTATCACTTCAACTATGCCCCCAGCTGGAGGCTGGAGTTTTGAAAGGCAGCAGAGACAACTGGGGACCAATTAGGAGACTACCCCAAAAGAGCGGACCAGTGAGATTTATTCTAGAAGTTTGGCAGTGGCAGTGAGGTTGAAGGGGAGATGGCAAATAGAGGAAATATTTCCAAGTGTGCCCCTGGGCTTCTTCTCATGAGAGCTTACATTCTTCTTCCCTCCTCCACCCTCCCATCTTCTTTCTCCTCCAAGATGTTCCCCTAACTAAACTCCAGTATCTCCATAGGACGCTGTGACTAGCCTTTGCTTCGGCCGCTATGGGCGGGAGGACAACACCCTCATCATGACCACGAAAGGTGGGGGACTCAGAGCTGGCATTGGAGTTGGTGTGAAGGGGGCAGCTGGGAAAAGAGGAGGAGGATGTGATGCTGAAACATAGGCAGACCCACATGTGGAAAGCTAGACCTGCACGGGGCGGGCCCACTATCACAGCTCATTAGTAACAGGTTAATTCCCACTGTCCAGGGCCGAATCCTGGTCTGGCAGGTGTCCAGTTCACGCCAATATCCACAGCACTTGCCACAGGATTCCATAAAATAGCTGCTAGGGGCTGGGAAGGTGGCTCAGTGGTAGAGCGCTTGCCTTGCATGCCTGAGGCCCTGGGTTCAATTCCTCAGCACCACATAAGCAAAAAGAAAAAAGCCAGAAGTGGCGCTGTGGCTCAAGTGGTAGAGGGCTAGCCTTGAGCTGAAGAGCTGAGGGACAGCGCCCAGGCCCCGAGTTTAGGCCCCACGACAACCCAAAAAAAAAAACAAACAAAAAGCTAATGGAGATCATTGAGCAATGCCTCACTCCCAGAATCAGTTTTGTGAGGCAGACAGACACAGAGAATTGCTCTTTATGAAACTGCTTATTTGGGGAAGAAGGAATTGGAATGGGGGACAGAGCCAAGAAGGACAAGTCTCTTTTCATCTTTTCACTTCTCAGGTGGAGGCCTGATCATCAAGATCCTGAAGCGTACAGCGGTGTTTGTAGAAGGGACCGGAGAGGTAGGCCCCCCACTGGCCCAGGCCACGAAGCTTGACGTGCCCCGAAAAACCCGACTGTATGTGGATCAGACTCTACGAGAGCGGGAAGCTGGTACTGGTAAGACTCAGACCTGAACCTGGGCATGCCGAGTAAGAGCTGCCCCTGAGCACTGGAGACCTTGGCTGACGAGGCAGCTCGTAGGCCTCTAGAAGTCCAAGGGGCAACCTTGGAGGTCCACCTGCCTCTAAATAATTGTTCCTCAAGATGGCGGGTACCCTGGGTAAGTACAGATCCCTCAGAGTCCAGACAGGCTGCCGTCACTTCCAGATGCAAGAATTCTTCAGGGGAAATGTAGAAATTGACCAGGATTCTGCCTCTTGTTCAGTTTTCTGCTCATCCATGTTTTCGTTCCCTATGATGATGCCAAGGGCCTTGAATTAGGCTGGTCCCTGCCTTAGTTGCTCAGTCCACCTGGACAACCAAGTATTATATCCCAGGGGGAGAAGGGTTTCTGTCAAGGGTTACTGGAGCACACCCCAGGAGTAAGAGATTTTACCTAGGGAACAAGAAAGGCTTCCAAAAAGTGACATTGACTTTACACTAGAAGAGAAAGTCCAAAGCAGCACAGGGAAGGAGGGGCTTTTTTTTTTTTTGTCAGTCATGGGGCTTGAACTCTGGGCCTGGGCGCTGTCCCTCAGCTCTTCAGCTCAAGGCAAGCGCTCTACCACTTGAGCTACAGCGCCACTTCCGGTTTTCTAGTGGTTTATTGGAGATACGAGTCTCATGGTCTCTCCTGCCCGGGCTGGCTTTGAACCATGATCCTCAGATCTCAGCCTCCTGAGTAGCTAGGATTACAGGCGTGAGCCACCGGCGCCTGGCAAGGAGGGGCTTTTAGACAGAGCTGGTGTAGAGACACACAGCCCTGACTTGCCATAAAACTATGGGTGCCATGCTGGAAGGCCAGCTAGCTGGGGGAGCAGGGAGGGAAGGAAGGGCAGAGCCAGCTCCCAAAGGTCAGGAAATGACAAGCTGAAGTTTCAATGCATTGTATGGGGTGGTGATCTGACATGGGTGTTAAACAGAAGAGTAAGTAACTCAGATGCTTTTCTGTTTGAAGACTAAATTAAGGTCCTTAATTAAAATCCTAAGATTAAATTAAGATATTTAATTAAGATCATAAGACTAAATTAAGATCCTAAAAGATCCTATTCAGGATCTTTTCTGAGTTTGAAGACTAAATTAAGAGGACAGAAAAAATAGCCTGGAAATGAGAAGTGAAACAGTTAATAAAGTTTCAGAAAAATTAGAGCGTTCTGCAAGGTGATTGTAAGCTTAAAATTGTAAGCTTTTGCAAGGCACTGGTAGCTCTACAATCTTAACTACTCAGGAGGCTGAGATCTAAGGATCCAGATTCAAAGCCAGCCTGGGCAGGAAAATTGTGAGAGTCTCATCACCAATTATCCATCAAAAAGTTGGAAATTGCGCTGTAGCTCAAGCTGTAGTGTGCTGTCCTTGAGCACCAAAGCTTAGCAACAGTATTCCAGCCCTGACTGGCACAAAAATAAATAGATAAAATAAATTGTAAGCTTTTGTATATATTAGTAATATCCAGCTGTGAAATACAAAGAAATCTCTAGAAATAACTGCAACAAGAAAATGCATAAAGGCTAGGAATGTGGCTTAGCAGAAGAATGCCTGCTTAGCATTCACAAAGCCCTGCATTCAATTCTTCATCACCATATACACAGAAAGAGCTGGAAGTGGTGCTGGGCTCAAATAGTAGAGGGCTAGCCTTGAGCAAAAAGAAGCATTAGGGACAGTGCTCAGATCCTGAGTTCAAGCCCCAGGACTGGCAAAAAAAGAAAAAAGAATATGTACAAGGGCTGGAGATATGACTCAAACAGTAGAGTACCTGCCTGGCAAGCACAAAACCCTCAGTTCAAATACAAGAAAGAAAGAGAGAGAGAAAGAAAGAAAGAAAGAAAGAAGGAAGGAAGGAAGGAAGGAAGGAGAGAAAATGTACAGAGTCTAGTAAAAAAAAAAATTATAAAGCTAGACAGGCCTGATGGTACATACTTATAATCCCAGCATTTAGGAAACTAACTCAAACATACATAAAAAGTATGGGGTGGCCAGGCACCAATACTTCACATGCCTGTAGCCCTAGCTACTTAGAAGACTGAGATCTGAGGATTATAGTTTGAAGCCAGCCCAGGCAGGAAAGTCTGTGAGACAAATCTCCAATTAACCACCAAAAAGCTGTACATGGAGCTGTTGCTCAAGAGGTAGAGTGCAAGTCTTCAGCAAAAAAACAAGGTTAGGTACAAAGCTCAGGCCCTAAGGTTCAAGTCACAGGACTGGTACAAACACAAAAAATGTGGTGGCTCACGCCTGTGATCCTAGCTACTCAGGAGGCCAAGATCTGAGGATTGTGGTTCAAAGCCAGTCCCAGCAGCAAAGTCCATGAGACTCTGATCTCCAATAAACCACCAGAAAACCAGAAGTGGCACTGTGGCTCAAGTGGTAGAGCGCTGGCCTTGAGCTGAAGAGCTGAGGGACAGTGCCCAGGCCCAGAGTTCAAGCCCACAACCGACAAAAAAAAAAAGGAGGGGCCTAGTTCAGTGGTAGTAGAGCACTTATCTCGTGTATGCTAGGTTCAGTCAGTCCCCAGCACCACAAAAGAAAAGAAGACAATTGGGGCTGGGAAGGTGGCTCAGTGGTAGAGCGCTTGCCTTGCATGCATGAGGCCCTGGGTTCGATTCCTCAGCACCAAATAAGCAAAAAGAAAAAAGCCGGAAGTGGCTCTGTGGCTCAAGTGGTAGAGTGCTAACCTTGAGCTGAAGAGCTGAGGGACAGCGCCCAGGCCCAGAGTTCAGGCCCCACGACCAGACTCAAAGAAAAAAGAAAAAGAAAAGAAAAGAAGACAAAAGAAACTTAGGCTAGGTTGCAAGTAGCTCATGCCTGTAATCTAACTACCTGAGAAGCTAAGATCTGGAAGATCTTCTATGATAGGACTCAGAGTGTGGCTTAGTGGTAGAGTGCTTGCCTAACATGCATGAAGACCTGGGTTCGATTCCTCAGAACCACATAAACAGAAAAGGCCAGAATCGGCACTGTGGCTCAAATGGCAGAGTGCTAGCCTTGAGCAAAAGAAGCTCAGGGACAGTGCCCAGGCCTTGAGTTCAAGCACCAGGACTGGCAAAAAAAAAAATTCTGTGGTAGTGTCTCTAAAATAACCAGCAGAAATCCAGGCTTCAGGTGTTGCTCAAATCACATAGCACTAGCCAAGCAGGCAAGCTTGGGGTCCTGAGTTCAAAAACTAAAATTATGAAACTACCTTCAAGAGCATTGAAGTCCACCTGAATGTTTCTATAGAGAGACTTCCTAAGCCTCAAGATGGGAAGACCTAATATTATAATGTTGATTGTTTCAGAGTCAATCTATGAAGAGTTGTACAGAAAGCCCGGCACTCTTTGTTTTCAGAAGTTGACCAGATCTCTACTACTAACCAATAGTAGAGGAAAAGAAAAAAAATAATGGGTAGATAACACATCCTGAAAAGGTGCAAGAGGCACCTCACCCACAAATCAAAGACGACCACGGAACTGGGCCTGCCAAGGAAGGAGCATGGGGCGTAGGACACGCGGGGCCCTGGAGGCGGTGTGAGCAGGGTCACTGGCGTTTGGCCAGTGGTAAGAGATGAGGAGTGAATTGTGGGCCAGCAGTGACTGAGTCTGAACACCAAGGTAGTGCTGAACTGGTGGAGAGGGCCAAGAAATCATTAGAGCAAGAGGCAGACCAGGTATCCACAAACTGCTAGGGACACAGTACACAATGCCCAGTGTGGACACACTGCCAGGAGCTGGCAACTGTTGCTCTTTGGCCAGCTGCAGATGGTGTGAGGAATAAGAGGGAGGGTGGAGGGAACCAAGGTCAAGGCCAGCGAGGCACAAGCCTTGAGGGTGGAACAGAAGGAACCAGGCAGCAAGATGGTGAGAGAACCAGGAACGAGAACATGGTCCAATGTTGCCTAAGGCTGGCCACAGGGCCTTGGCCCTTCCAGTCCCCATGTTCTCAGCCTCTGAAGATCCTGCCAGCCTATCTTCCTTGCGTATCCTCCCCACAGCAGCCTGAGCAGGAGCCCCTTGCCCTGTTCCAGTCTCTGCTCCATGTCCCCTCCGCAGCCATGCACCGAACCTTCCAGACGGACCTCTACCTTCTTCGGCTCCGAGCTGCCCGCGCCTACGTGCAGGCCCTTGAGTCCAGCCTGAGCCCCATGTCAGCGACAGACCGCGAGCCGCTCAAGCTCCACGCAGTGGTGAGTGCGCCCGTGTGGGGTGTCAGGGCCAGAGGGCAGGAGAAGGTGACCCCCATACCACACATGTTAAGCCTCCGGTGTCGGTGTCAAGCCAAGCCCCATGCTCTTTGTCACCTGCTGGAGTCCCATGCCCTCTGGGAGAGCACCTTTCACCTGCTTACCTGTTTTACAACTGGCCACAGAGGTCACCCTGCCCAGCTCCCCTATTCCATAGTGCCCCAGACAAGCCCGCAGATTTGGGGTAAAGGAGTGACCCTGGGGCAATCTGGCCATGGCACAGGAAAGAAAGCTCATTGCTTCGGTAGCCACAACAACCCAGGGTGTTGGGACTGACTGACTGGGACAGGGAAGGCCACCATGACCCCGGCTCCAGGGGTCCCCAACCATGGACTGACACATGGCAAAGGAAGAGCCCACACAAACCCAGATACAAGTGGCCTCCATCCACCTCCTCCCCTCTGGGTCTCTGCTGACCCCTGTGTACTTCCCAGGGTTCTGTGCATTTTGAGAAGCAGATGGAAAAAGCTAGAGGGGTGCTGGGTACCAGCAGCTCACGCCTAGCTACTCAGGAGGTTGAGATCTGAGAATCGCTGTTCAGAGCCAGCCCAGGCAGGAAAATCCGTGAGACTCTGATCTCCAATTAACTGCCAGAAAACCAGAAGTGGTGCTGTGGCTTCAGTGGTAGGGTGCTCACTTTGGACTGAAGAGCTGAGAGACAATGCCCAGGCCCTGAGTTCAAGCCCCATGACCGACAAAAAAAAAAAAAAGCTGAAGGGGTGGCCCGATGAGGAAGCAGGCAGGCAGGACCAGAGTTCTGAGGGCCTTCTCCACCCACTCTCTCCACAGGTTCAGGGCCTGGGCCCCACCTTTAAGCTCACTCTTCACCTGCAGAACACCTCGACAGCCAGGCCCCTGCTGGGGCTGCTGGTCTGCTTCCTGTATAATGAGGCTCTCTATGCCCTGCCTCGGGCCTTCTTCAAGGTACAGGACCCTGACACCCAGGCAGAGGATGTGGCAGTTGGGGTGGGCAGAGTTATAGCTGGATACCCCCAGGCCCCCCCCCCCAGGTTGAGGTAGGAAAGTGGGCAATGTCTGCCTCTCCAGCTCAGGACCAGAGTCGGCTCAGCAAGGGTGTCTGGGAGGTGACCAGTTTCTGCCTCTGTTACCTTTCTCCCAACCTGAACGGCCCCAGGGAACCACACAGAAAGTTCTGGAAAACAGCGGAGCCACTGAGGACTGGTGTACTCCCAGAGCCCACCCTGTTTCCTAACTGCTTCTACTACAGGAAGAGACCCCAACTCTCCCCTTAGAGCAGGCCCAGGCTAAAGGCCTCTACATTACGTCGTGCAGGGGTCTAGGTTTAACCCCAGACATGCCATGTGGCCCTGGTTCTCCTCTTCACACTGCCAGGATCCCCAGATCCCATGACCATCCCACAACCCCCAGAGGGTCCCAAGACACAACAGAGACCGTGGGCACAAGTGCCACCTTGGAAAGTCTCTTAACACCATCCAAGCGTGATGCCTGATTTTCTTTTCTCTTGGTCCTCAAATCTAGGTCCCCTTGCTGGTGCCAGGGCTCAGCTACCCCCTAGAGACCTTTGTGGAGAGCCTCAGCAGCAAGGGCATCTCAGACATGATCAAGGTAGGTCACCCATCCCTGCTTCTTAGAGGACGTCAGGAGTGCGTGTGGATAACGCCCTTGGGCTTGTGTGGGGTGTCATCTAGTTGTGGCCTACCAGCCTCTCCTCAGCCCTCTGGCCTTGCCCTGGTGGCCTGCAGTTAGGGTCCACATGGACAAGTGGACAAGTGGCTTGTTCTTGGTGTAGGGGGGCATGGTGTCAAGATTTGCGCCCCCTCTGTCATGGCGCCTCTTCCTTAGGTTCTGGTGCTCCGCGAAGGCCGCAGTGCCCCCCTGCTGAGCGCCCACATCAACATGCCAGTAAGTGAGGGGCTGGTGGCTGCCTGAGCCCCCGCCAGCGGCCGAGCCCCAGTGGAATGGAGCCAGCCACTTCCTGCCTGGGTGGACCCAGCGGAGTCAGGCCACACCCTACGCAGCCCGGCCACGTGCTGGGTCCCAGCTTCCCCTCCTCTCCAAAGCAGCCCCGCACCACCAAGGCCTGAGCAGCAAGCCAGTGAGCACCCAGTGCCTCCTCCCTCAGGACTGCCCAGCACCCTTCCCAGCTCCTTCCAGAAACCTTACCAGGCCCCAGAAAGCTGTGAAACAGTCTATGTGAGAAGAGAGGCCCTGCCCTCCTCCACTTCTTCCCTGAGGCACACAGGCTTCCATCATAGGCCTGGCTGGAGCAAGCTTTTCTTGAGGAAGGCTGTGCTCAGTCACCCCTGGGGTTCAGGAGCTGCAGGTGAAGCACGAAGCACAGGCATCGATATTTTTCCTTGGCAAGCCATAGGTGCCACTTTCCCCTTGTGGCCCAGAGAAATGCCACCTTCCCCAGGCCATATTTCCCATATTTCAGTCACTCCCTCAAGCCTCTTGAGGCCCAGGAAGTGTTCCAATTTAAGCAGTGATACTAGAGGGCAGCGGGGATCCAGGAGAGCGTTAGAGATCCCAACCCTCCCGAGCACCCTCCTAAAGGACAGACAGCAGCTGCTTCTGACCTGGATGGCCAAAGACAACATTCCTGGAGAGGAAGGCTGCACTAGACAGCACAGGTGGGCCGGGGGCACCAGAACAGGCATTTGTGGGGCTTGGGGAGGTAGTCCAGAAGGCAGACACTCAGAAGTGCCCAGCAGGATGCTATTCTACACCCGAGAGCCAAGTCACTCCCATGGATGAAGAGTTCACTAGGCAATGAGCAGTGTGGGACAGAATATACTGGAAGGAAAAGTGCCCACCAGAAGTGTGGAGTGAAGCTGAGGGTTAAAGGAAGCCACCTGAAGCCCCTTGAGGGTCAGGTCAGGCTTGCTGCTCCCGGGCCTATCCAACCCCCCCCCCCCCCCCCCCCCCCCCCCGCTTCCCGCCTGATGATGTCGTGTGTATGGCACACCGCCTGAGCTTTCAGGAAGAAACCAAATCCCTCTAGGCTTCAGTCTCCTCTCATGTAAAATACAGTAGTTTGACCAGATTGTTGGTGAGCTGCCTTCAGCCCTGGCACCCTCCAACCTGGGCAGCCCAACCGGAGAAGGGTGACTGACAGCAGTCCAAGCTGACCACCTGCGCCCAGTAGCAGCCTCTACGCCCCAAACGCAACAACAAGGGAGACACTACCATAACTCCTCCAAGAAGGGCATCCCAGGCCATGTTAAGAGAAAGGAGGGGTCTGGACAGAAGAAAAAGCCATCCCCCACAACCCACCCTTCACAGACGGGACTTCCTGGGTCAGTGGTGAAGGATTTCCACATCAGGCCACCTGAGGCACAGCTGGTACAACAAGCAGAAGATGTAGCCTGGAAACAAGGATGTAGGGGTAGAGCCCTCAACCCACAGGACTCAGCCGAGGTGGAAGGCCTGCCTGGAAAGGTGATGAGCCCCTTGTCACCCAAGCTGCACGATCCAGCAAGGCTGGGACGGGCAGTGTCCTGTGTCAGCCACTGACTTTCCAATCCTTTTCACCCATCAGGCCATGAGTTGCACTCTTAAGCTGTGTGAACTCAGAACAAGAAGATCTGATCTGTGTTCTATTCATGATGATGAAAGGGGACATCAATGCCAGCCCCTAATATTAATTTATGTAATGTTACACTATATGCCTGTTAGTAAGAAACATACCAACTACATCTTAGGATGAGGCTAAAGGAACAGGAAGTAAGAAACAGCGCAGGGTGCCCACTAGCACCAGCTAAGCTCCAGAAAACCGTATATATTAAGGATAAGAAGAGGACTTGTCTTGCTATTTGTTTAGAAGCACACATATACTGAGAAATATGGTATTTGTAGATAACAAGAAAGCAATCTCATTGTCAAGGCTATCCCTGTGCCAGTCAGTTCTAGTTCTTTTAGCTCTGTTTTTAAATGTGTGTATTCCTCTTGCTTGTTGTCAGTCCTAACATTATCAGCTGGCCCCTGTACTAGATGAGGCCTTAGCTTTAGCTCTCTTGAAACGTAACCCCTCTTCTTTTTTAGATGAATCAATATACTCTAAAAGGTTATTATTTATATTGCTATGGAAATTTATTCGCGGTAAAGGCAGAAACTGAGTTATAAATAAATGACATTTTTTGAACTTTCAAATCTTTCCAGTTACTAATTGCCTTGAATTTTTATTTATATAGTTTTCTAATAAAATAGTTGCAATTTGATGGTTTCTCTTTTTTCTTCATTCATCTTCTGCTTCCCTGGGGATAGTTTGCTAACAAGAATATTCTCTTTGCCAGGCATCAGTGGCTCACACCTGTAATCCCAAACTACCCAGGAGGCTGAGATCTGAGGATTATGATTTGAAGTCAGCCCAGGCAGAAAAGTCCCATGAGATTTTTTTTTGGGGGGGGGGTCGTGGGGCCTGAACTCTGGGCCTGGGCGCTGTCCCTCAGCTCTTCAGCTCAAGGCTAACGCGCTACCACTTGAGCCACAGCGCTACTTCCGGCTTTTTTCTTTTTGCTTATTTGGTGCTGAGGAATCGAACCCAGGGCCTCATGCATGCAAGGCAAGCGCTCTACCACTGAGCCACCTTCCCAGCCCCACCATGAGATTCTTATCTCCAGTTACCCACCAGAAAACTGGAAGTGGTGCTGTGGCTCAAAATGGTAAATAGCACTAGCCTTCCTTGAGCAAAAGAGCTCAGGGACTGCACCCAGGCCCTGAGTTCAAACCCCACAACTGGAAGAAAAAGAAAAAAGAATATTCTCTGAGGGTCCCCTATTCCCTGGGTTCCACATCTTCTTAGTTTGTTCCTTACTTGGTGAAATATATTCATAGGTTCCTTTCCTTTTGTTCTCTTTCTGGTGGTGCTGGGGTTTGAACTCAAGTCCTCAAGCTTGCTAGGCAGACATTCTACTACGTGAGCCATGTCTCTAGCCAGTTTTTAATTTACTTAATTTTCAGACGAGGTCTCATATTTTTGCCAAGTTTCAACTTCACATCTCAGTCCTCTCTACAACCTCCCACGCAGTTGGGATCACAGGTGTGTCTCATGAACTCCCCCACCTCCTGGGTGGGCCTTAACCCTTTATCTTCTGGATATCTGCCTCTTGAGTAGCTGGGAATTACATAATCAGCCCCTGAGCCTGGCTCATGGCTACCTTTTTAAGTCATTAGAGTTAAATACTTAAGGCACTGCTTGTCTGACCATTGCTTTATTCAGTTTATACATGTGCTAGTTTGGTTGAGTCATAATATTTGAAGTTGGGAATTATTTTACTTGCGGCTATGTGTCCATTTCCATGTCATTGCTACTGCTGACCACCTTTTTCTCAGTGGTTTTCAATGTTGTGACTTGCCTGTATACTTACTGTTTCGCTGTGGGTGAAGATAGGTGTGCAGTCTGCAGTTCTCGGAACACTACTGCTGCTGCTGCTGGCTTCCATTGATGTCTCTCCCCAATCCTCTTTCTCTGTTCTCCTTGGACTTCCTAATTAAGGCTGGTATCTGACTGAGGGCCATTCCCAAAAAGAAAAAATTGATCCTGATTTTCTTCTCTCTTTCTCATATCCTTTTCTTCTGTTATCAGCTCTTCTGAGTATGAATTTTTTCCCAATGATTTGAATTCTATTTTCTCTTCAGTTTTTAGTTACAGTATCTTTTCAAAGAGGCATTCTCCTCTAAGATTGCTTTATATTAAAAAAAAAAAAAATAAGGGCTGGGAATGTGGCTTAGTGGTAGAGTGCTTGCCTAGCATGCATGAAGCCCTGGGTTCGATTCCCCAGTACCATATAAACAGAAAAAGCCGGAAGTGGCACTGTGGCTCAAGTAGTAGAGTGCTAGCCTTGAGCAAAAGAAGTTCCAGGACAGTGTTCAGGCCCTGAGTTCAAGCCTCAGGACTGGCAAAAAATGAATATATATATATATATATATATACACATATATATATATATGGTGGGGGGGAGCTGGGTATGGTGGCTCATGCCTGTAATCTTAGCTACTTAGGAAGCTGAGATCTCAGCATCATGGCTGGACAAGCCAGCCAAGGTAGGAATGTCCATGAGACTCTTACCCCCAATTAACCACCAAAAAGCCAGAAGTGGAGCTGTGGTGGCTCAGGTGATAGAGCATTAGCCTTGAGCAGCAAAGGCTCAGAGACAGCGTCTAAACCCCAAGTTCAAATCCCAGAACAAGCACCAAAATAAATAAATCAATCTAAAATCAGTAGGAGAGCAAGAGAATGATTGATCTGACTTTTAAAAAGTGATTAAAATTTGTTTCACATGTAAAACTCAATAGCTGAGTGGAGAGCTGGGAAGGTGGCTCAGTGGTAGAGCGCTTGCCTTGCATGCATGAGGCCCTGGGTTTGATTCCTCAGCACCACATAAGCAGAAAAAAAAGCCAGAAGTGGCGCTGTGGCTCAAGTGGTAGAGCGCTAGCCTTGAGCTGAAGAGCTGAGGGACAGTGCCCAGGCCCAGAGTTCAGGCCCCACAACCGGACCCAAAAAAAAAAAAAGTTGAGTGGACACAAGCACTTATAAAGACCCCAGTTACACAGCACCTGTTGGCACAAACCTGCGATCCCAGCACTCAGGAAGCTAAAGCAGGAGCATGAGTCCCAGACCAGCCAAAGCCACACGGTGAAACTGTCTAAAACAGAAAGAAGAAAACAAATCTGCATCTCATTTAATACCTTTAAATTTAATGTTTGGGAAGCTAAGGTCATGTTTAATTGTGAAACATTAAACTCTCTCTAAAGTCAGAAAGAAGGGGCTCCTACAATATATAGTGGACTCTTACAGGAGGGCAAGAAGAATGGAGAAACAAAAAATGGAAAACAAATTGAAGGTAACAGGACTGTAGATACAGAAAACTCAAAAGAATCTACAAGTAGTTGCATGTTGAGTTTTAGATGTGCTGGATATGACCTCTTTTCCTAAACCAGATATAACAGCATTGAAATATTAAATATTTAAGAATACACCAAAAGGCATCATTATGAGAAAAGTCTCACTTTATTGGAAACATTCAGTGAGGAGATACACTGTGTTCATGAACTGGAAAATTCAATTTTATGGACATGCTCATTTCCAAACTGATGTAGAGAGAGTCAGTGGGTTTCACTGCTGAATCTTGACAAGCTGATCCTAAAACTGATGTGGAAGAGCAAAGCTCGTGTCCCCACAGATAGGTTGCGGATTAAAAAGGCCAGAAAAAGTTGTATATTCATACAAATGACCACCACACAGCAGAGAAAGGAAACACTACACCACTACATGCAATCATTTGGTGACAGACATCTCACAGACATAATTATTGAGTGAAAAGGTAAGTCATTCATTGTAGAATAAACTCACTATGATTGCGTTTATATAAAATTCAGACACTTAAGCACAAACATCAAACAGAAGCAAAAGAAAGAGGAAGACAGGGCAGTGAAGGAAACAACAACCTTTAAGGAAACTAACTTTCTCCACCAGGTAGAGGAGTTTTGTAAGTACAGTATTAGGGCTTGAATTGATGGCCTTATGCTCTTGTTTGGCTTCCTTGCTCAAGGCTGGCCCTCTTCCCCTTGAACCATAGCTCTATTTCCAGCTTTCTGCTGCCTAGTTGAAGATGAGTCTCATGTACTTTTCTGCCCTTGAACCTCAATCCTCAGATCTCAGCCTCTTGAGTAGCTAGGATTATACATGTGAGCCACTGGTGCCTGGCCTATAAATATTCTCTAGCATCCCCTCATGATTAAGAAGGTGAAGCCGTGTGCCTGTGGCTCACACCTGTAATCCTAGCTACTCAGGAGGCTGAGATCTGAGGATCACAGTTCAAAGCCAGCCCGGGCAAGAAAGTCCGTGAAACTCTTCAATAAACCACCAGAAAATTGGAAGTGGCGCTGTAGCTCAAGTGGTAGAGCGCTAGCTTTGAGCTAAAGAGCTGAGGGACAGCATTCAGGCCCAGAGTTCAAGCCCCACAACTGACAAAAAAAAGTGAGTTGATGCAGAAGAGGAGTGTTTATATACAGTACACAGTGCTAGGCACATGAAGTTCCTAGTGTCTTTTCTGTTTACATACAGCGATAGCAATAGAGCAGACCAAGTGGAAAACAAAAATAAAAGAAGAGAAAACACCTAATGACCTCTGAGAGTATGGGCAGAGCCTGTCAGGAAGATGGGCTCCCCTGGGAGGTTGGAGGAGACAAGCCTGCCATTTCATGGGGCATCCAAACAACATTATAGACTTCTGCAATCTTCATTTTTGGTCCAGCTTCCTCATCCCCAGCCCCCTCAGTACCCCTGACACCCAGAGCTTTAATGGTCCAGTTTCTCCTTCAAATAACCCTGTGCCCCATCTCACTCCAGGTGGTGACTGCAGGAGGGTAGCACACAGAGCAAACTATATGGATTTTCCACCCATTCCAAAGCTGATGGAAGCACTGGCTCTAGGGGGCAATCTGCCATGCTTTTGGGTCTCTCCCTTTGCAAACACATCAATTTGACTTCTGATTCTCTGCTCTGAGTTGCACAAATGGTGAGTGTCAGGATCTTTGGCTTTCTGCTATTTCCTAGTCTTTTTTTTTTCTGAAGCCTGCTATTCTTAGCTGTTCATGTTTTTCCATAAAACATTGAATAAACAGCTCCCAAAGAGCCAGGGATGCGGGCCTCCCCGACGGCTCAGCATCACCTCTCACAGGTGCTTGACTATCCTCAGGACATGTCTGGTCCTCATTTTCCTCCTGCTCACCTTTGTGCAAAGCACAAAGATCTGAGTGCAAATCCTGCCTCTGTTTACTACCCCATATTCTTGTCACTCACAAAAGCAGCAGCCAAACTGCTGCCACGGGCCCCATGATTCCATGAGACTCATACTACAGAGAAGTTGCAATCAAGTGCTGATCCAGTAACACATGGGTCAGAGGGGGGCAAGGCCCTGGCCCCTCAGGTTTCTTTGACAACCACAGGAACCAAAAACAGCATCTAGGACAACAAACCCAAAAACCCAGCAGAGATGGAGTGGGGCCAAGAACCAGGTAGGTGCTTTATTAGCCTGGCAGAGGGGCAGCCAAGCCGGCTGAGCAGCCCCTATGCTAGACCCTTCTCTTCCCAAAGGGCAAAGCCACAAGGCCAGAGCCCTGGACACAGAAGCATCCAAGCCGGGCAGGAGCAAGGCCAAGGAAGGAATCAGAGCTGTCCACTGCAGGTGTTCAAGGCCCAGCTGGTTTCCCTCCTGCTGCTGGGTGGAGCAGGAAATGAGTTATCCGCCCCCTCCTCCACTCTCCTCTGCCTCCTGCAGTTTTGGCTCCTCCTGGAGTCAAGAAGCTGCAAGTCTCACGTCAGCTGTGGTCTGGAAGGTGATCCCATCCCCAGGCAATGGGGAGGCCAGGAAGGGCCAGAGCCAAATGAGGACCCAGCGGGGCCCTAGGGCTGCTTGCAGGTTACCACAGAAGCCCAGGTCATAGGAATGCTGGCCCCGAGCCCACTCCCACGTGGTCTGACCCCGAAGCAGCAGCATCCCGTGGAAGAGCAGCCCAGCCCCACAGAGCAGTGCACCTGCCACGCACGTGTCCACCACGAAGGCCAGGGCAAACTGAGCCAGAGTTACTCTGCCTGCAGAGAGAGAGCAGAGAAGGTCAGGGGGGCAGCTGTCGGAGCCCGCCCTCCCAGAGCTCAGCTCCTGCCCTCCTCCCTCTACTCCCTGCCATGAAGCAGAGCCGACTCCTGCTGTCTGTAAACACTGAGTTGCCACCCAATAGCCAGCCCTAGGCTGGGCAATGGGAATACGCTGGTGGAGCTGGCAGACAGTCCCTGCCTAGGGGACCTCTTCCACCTGTGTATCACAAACTTGGTGAAGGCCTAAGCCCTGGGCCCCGTGATCAAGGGGATGAAATAAGGTTCTCCACTCTCCAGGAATTCTCAGACATGAAACTGACCATTCTTAGTCACTCAATTACATCAGTACTCTGTATCACAGTGGAAAAGTAGACTAGCTTGTACCATCTTGGCTACACCAAGCAACAAGTACCTGTTAAATAACTACAAGTCAAGCGCTGGTGGCTCATGCTTGTACTCCTAGCTACTCAGAAAGCTGAGATCTGAGGATCCTGGTTTGAAGCTAGCCCTGGAAGAAAAGTCTTTTATCTTCAATTAACCATCAAAAAGCCAGAAGTGGAGCTATGGCTCAAATGGTAGAGCACTAGCCTTGAGTGAAAAAGCCAAGTAAGAACTCAAGGACATGTGTTCAAGCCCCATTACAGGCATACACATACACAATCAATCAATCAATCAACTGTAGTGTGGGGCTTTGCTAAGTAAGGGGCCAGACAGGAAAGGTCACATGCTTTAAGAGTCCCTTTCTAAGAGAAGTCCCAAATATGCAAATGCTTAGCTAGAAAAGCAGATTAGTAGCTGCCAGCTCTGGGAGGATTGGAGAGGAATAGGGAGGGGCTGTTTGCTACATTCAAGGTTTCTTCTTAGGGGTAAAAATGTTCTGGAATTAAGACAGTGATAATGGTTTCTGTGGTACAGAGTCTACCTCGCAAGTGCTAGGTCCTGAGTTCAAATCTTAGTACAATCAAAAGGAGAGAATAGGAGAGGTCCTGTGGATTTAGAAGAAATAGATCCTGGCTTCTGACAGGTGAGGAAGAGGCAGCAGCCAGGCGGAAACAGATACAGGAGTGAGCAGGAAGTAAGGGAAAGCATCTGGGAGCCTGCACAACTCTCTTGGAAGGAAGACTAGAGGAGATGGAGGGGTGAAAAGATCTACTGAAGTCAGGGAAAATCTCCAAAGAAGCACGTGGAGGAAGCTGGGATGCGGAGGGAGAATGACTGCCTCCCAAGTTTGAGGCCCTGAGTTCACAACCCAGTACACTACAAAAGCCACAGGACTTTGATTTTTTATCCTGGGTGATGTCAGAGGTAAAAGGAATATCAGCAGCATCCAGACATGGCATCGCAATCAGCCTTCTGCTTTAGGTCTCCTTCCAAGCCCAGTGGTTGGGCCTTCTTCTGCCTAGAACTTTCACTGGCTCCTCATTACCCATATCAGAGTCATACCAGCCTTTGCTTTTACCTCATGGGCTCCTCTGATCTTTCTTCCCCTGCAAGAAATCTAGAATCTTACCCTGATTCTCAAAGCCAGAATTTAGCCCCCGTCTTGTGTAAAATACAGTACCATATGTTCAGCTGAGTTCCAAGCTACCCTCTTCCTCCATAAATGACACTGGGACTTCGTCTCCAGGGCACTGCCAGGACCAGCACGAAATCCCACCTCCCACTACAAAGGGCTTGACTCCTCTAAGGGCCTCTGCCTCCCTGCCTCCCTGCCTCCACACCTGTGAGCAACATGAGCCAGGGCAGCAGCAGGAGGGCAGCAGTGTGGAGGGCTGAGTGAGCCCGCAGCAGGGCTGACAGGGCAGGACCCAGAAGCACCGAGACGTGGAGCAGGACACCCCCAGCATGGAGCAGCAGGCACAGGAAGGGCCGGTAGTTCCGGAAGCCCACACAGCGGCCCAGCAGACGGCAGTGATGGTCCCGACGCAGGATGCAGACACGACAGGCAGAGCAATGGCCACTGCGCGGTGGCACCTGGCTTTGGCACTGGTAGCAGTAACTGCAAGAAAAGACCACCACAGGTCAGTATCCCAAGCAGCTCTGAATGCCCCAGATCTGCCCAGGGCCAGTCCCAGAGCCTCTCCTGAGGAAGCAAAAATAACCACCTGCCTTCATCAAGCCTAACGATTTCCCAAGGTCTGAGGTGGCTTCCACCCGCCAGTCTTAATAAGGTCTTTTTCTGACCTCTTAGCACCCAGTGGCAAAACTTTGATCCAAGTCACCGTGAACTGCCCTCAGCATTACTGCAGCAACTCCTTCACTGGTTTCATCCTTGCAGCCACAAGGATACCTTTTTTTTTTTTTTTTTTGTCGGTCGTGGGGCTTGAACTCTCTGGGTCTGGGTGCTGGCCGAGCTCTTCAGCTCAAGTCTAGGGCCCTATCACTTAAGCCACAGTGCCACTTCTGGTTTTGTGGTAGTTAACTGGAGATAAGAGGCTCACGGACTTTCCTGCCAGGGCTAGCTTTGAACCGTGATCCTCAGATCTCAACCTCCTGAGTAGCTAGGATTACAGGCATGAGCCACTGGCACCTGGCCACAAGGATTCTTTTAAAGCCTAAGTCACGTCTTGGCTTGGCTTAAAAATCTCCAGTGACTCCCTACAGGCTTGCATCCTTAATCTTCCCCTCTCCCCACCCTCTACCCTATGCCAGTTTCCCTGGCCTTGCCAGAGATGGTGAGAACTCAGTTGCCTCAAAGCCTTTACATGGTTTGTTCCTTCTGCCTTGAACAATCTGCCCTCAATTTCACCAGCCCTGGGATTAAACTCGGGTCCTGGGCACTTTTTAGCTCAAGGCTAGCACTCTACCACTGAGCCACAGCTCCACTTCCAGCTTTTGGCTGGTTAATTGGAGATAAGAGTCTCATAGACTTTCCTGCCTGGGATGGCTTCCAACTGCAATCCTTATTGCTCAGCCTCCTTGAGTAGATAGGATGACAGCCACCGGTGCCTGGCTTCTTATATTTAAGTTCTCAATCGTAAATTGGCCAATTATGCTTGCATATATTTGCTGAGTACAAAGTGTGGTTAGATCTTCTGAACAGAAAGTGGAATAATTAAATCAAGCTTATTAAATCTTTCACCTCAAATATTTCTAGTGGCGAGAATTGACCATCTTATTTTAAATTGAAACTCGCATCCCCCTTTCAGCCTATTCTAATTTTTGTTTCCGCACCCCCATCCTGTCTACTTTACATCACTTGCTTACTTAATGTGGTGGTAGTTGGTCGTCTGTCCCTGCCCCTCACTGAAATCAACTCCAGGAAGTTGGAATCTACCCCAAGCCCCCATCTGATCAGTAAGTATTTAAGCGAGGAACAGTCCTTTGGCATCTTGCATGCCAGGTTCTAAAGGAGTGCTCTGGCTCTAAGAACCCGGATGCTAACGTAATCCAGTTCGAACACCTCAGATCCTGCGCCCCGCCCCCGCCCCAGGCGCGCCCCACTCACGCCCAGCCCTGGCCCAGGCCGCGGCCGGCCAGCATCACGCCCCGGATGCTGGGGTCCGAGCGCAGGAAGAGCCCCAAGTTGCCCGCAAGGTTAAGCAGCTGGAAAGCAGCCAACGCGAGCTGCAAGGCCCGGGCCAGGGGGTCCTAGCGGGGGCGGCCCGGGACCTAGCACCAGCACGTAGGCCAGCTCCAGGCCCACGGCGGCGGCCCATAATCCGGTGAGCACGAGCGGCAGCCGCGCGGGAGCCCCCTCGGCTCGCCCAGCCGCCCAGGGCTGCCCCATAGTCCGGACCCATCCACAGTCGGATCCCGAGGACCTCGCCGCTTCCGCATTGGGGCGGGAATAAAGGCCGACGGACGTCTACGATAGCCAATGGAAACTCGAAAGGGGAGCGGAGCGCGCTAGGCTCTAAATGAGCGGTCACAGATGCGCAGAGCTGATTGGTCGGCCGCGCGAGCCAGCAGAGGCTTGAAATCCGGTTGGTGCTACCGTCCGGGTGACGCCGCTCAGTCTTCGCCCTCCCGGCCCCAGGAGGCCCCGCCCTCCCACGGACAGCCCCGCCCTCCCACGGAAAGCCCCGCCCGCCGGCGCCGCGGGCCTGGTGCCGCGCGGCGGAGATTGGGTTGCAGCCTCGGTGGCGTCGGGGTTCCCGGCTCAGCACATTCTCCCCGCCACACACACGCCCTCCCCCGTTCGCCCCGATATTAATACCCCCGCCTAGGCCTATCCAGCTGGCTTGGAGTCCCTCACTGCGCTCAGGTGTCTCCATCACTCCAGAAAACCTTCAGAGCAGCTCGGCGCCTCGGCGGTTCTGACTGTGAAATGGGCACAGGGCTCTGCTTCCCACCCCGCGGGGCGCGAGCCGGGCCGGACCGGAGGGCGGCCCGTCGCCCATGCTAGTGTCCTTAGGGACATTCTATAGAGGAGACAGAGAGGGCTCGTGGCCTTCCCAAAGTCACACAGCCCCCTCGGCGAGCCGCGGAACCCGGGCCTCGATCTATCCCAGCGTCCCCCCAGTTCTGCGGTCCTGGGCTTCTGGGCACCCTCTTATCTGGTCCCTACCCGGGCGCCCGCGCCTCCGTGTGGCCCCACCCACCTCCCCCATATTTAGAGCGAATCCGATCCCGGGGCTGGGCCCGGCCCTACTTAACGGGGCCCGGGTGCTGGGGAGCGCGCCCAGCCGAGCGGAGTCCGCAGCCCGAGCAAGATGATGATGGTCATGCAGCCCGAGGGCCTGGGGGCCGGGGAGGGGCCCTTCGCGGGCACCGGGGGCGGCGAGTACATGGAGCAGGAGGAAGACTGGGACCGAGACCTGCTGCTGGACCCGGCCTGGGAGAAGCAGCAGCGGAAAGTGAGTGCTCGCCCATTTCCTCGTGGAAAAACTGAGGCCGGGGAGGGTCGGCGGTTTGTCCTGGGGGAGCTGGAGCCGGGTCAGTCCGACTTCCCCAGCTGCCACTTCCCAGCTCAAGACTGCCCGGCCTGCTGCCGTCCTTTAGGGCTGGACAAGACATTGAAGTATCTAGGAAAATTCTCGGTTTCCCTAAATTCCTGTTGCTTCCCTGGGCCCAGGGCCCAGCGGGTTCATTGAACAAAGCCCAGGAGATCCGAGTGGGGTACGAGAGCGGGGGGGGGGGGGGGGCGGGGGAAGGAGAGGAAGGGGGGAGTGGCAGGGGGATTCAGGAAGAATAACCTGTGTCCCCAAGCCCACCCTACTCTCGTTAAGCATTGCCAGACCCACTCTGGAAAGGAGCTTGATAGGTTCACAACTAGCGAACTTGGAGTTTGAAGGGAGGGCGGGGGCTTCTAGACTCTACCCAGTTCCAGGGTGGAATTCACAATCTTTCTGTCTCATTTGGCAATTGAGGAAACTGAGGCCCAGGAAGGGGCAGAAATAGGTCCCAAAATAATATACCATCAGATAACAGGAACTCTCCCCGCCCCCCCCCCCAAGTTAAAATCTTGCCCAGTTCCACTCACTCTCAAGATATCCCTCCCTGCCTGGGGGGCGGGGAGGGGGGGGGGAACCCTGAGTCTGCTGAAAAGGCCACAGGTCAGGGAGGAGGGGAGCCCCGGGTCCCCTTACGTAGTAACCTGATTCTCTGGACAGATGGGCACTTAATGCTGAGGCAGCTCGTTGAGAAAGCTCAACCAGGGCATGTGGGCAACTGTTGCCCAGGCCCAAGCCTTGTAGGGCACTGGGGCCCCTCCCTCCCTGAACTATTTTCACCCCCAGACTTTCCCCAGTGGGGAGAGCAGGACACTTGGGTTGCCTAAGGAGAAAATGATCCTAATTTTAGTGGGAAAAAAATTAAGGAGTGACAGACCAGGGGAGAGAGGGCACTGTGAGGACACTGGACCTGACAAATGTTTGCCAGCCACCAGGAAAAGGCAAGACACTGATGCTCTTTGGGATCTGCCACATTGGAAAATCTCAGACTTTAGAATCGGAGCACTTCCGACGGGTTAGATGACAGGAGATGATCCCCACCCCCTCCTGCCCCCTCCACCTGAGGCTGGGAGACTGAGCAGCCTCTACTGGGCTGCCCCTGGGTGATCCATTTCTCTCCCTACCCACTCCACTCGGTGCACCTGTCTCTAAACATGGCTGTGGTCCCTGGGTTCGGCAATCATCCGGTGATGTCATCCTTGCCTCTGGCTCCAGCTGCCACTTGCTCTGCGATAACTCTTGTCCCCACCCCTAGCCACTCACCGCTCTCCCAAATCCAGACCCACATGCCCCTGCTATGACACATGCCAGTCTCTCTTTTGTCTTTGTCACTTAAAATATCGAGAGCATCCTTGATATAAACAGCCGCCCACCGCATCCAACAGCTGCACGGGGTAGATGCTCTAAAAAATCCATCTGCACCCCCCCCCCCGGGCTTAGACATGTGGGTCATTTTCTTTCTTATCCACTGTTGCTTATTACAAAGTTGTCATAAATACACTCCTGCATGGCCTCACCACCCAATGACTCCCTGATTCGAGACTCCCAGTCTAGGAACACTCTGTTTTCTCTTATCTTGGGCTGAGTTCTCGTCAGTCAACCATGCCCAGAAACACTTGCTCCATCAGTACGTCTTTTGGGAGGTCTGAACTGGTGGGCAGGTGCTGTTTCAGGGGCCTGGGCTTAGCGAGAGACAAAGTGGAGTTTGTGGCTTTATTTCATCCCCTTCCCTCCCCCCTGCTGCCTTCTCCTCCACCTCCTCACTTCTCCCAAGCCATTGTCTCCTCTCACAACCAGCATGAGCTTTCTGAAACGGTTCTGCCCACCTCCCTCTGCCTGAAGCTTTGTTGACTCCCTCCCTGTGCCTCCCACAGTCAAGGTCAAACTGCCCAGACTTAACACCTAAGACAGGGCGTGACCTGGCCCCTGCCATCCCTCCGGTTTGCCTCTATCTCACCAACTCCCCCAGCTTCATTCCAGCAGTGCCCAGAGCACTGGCCTCACAGACAGAGTAACTGTTTCTCTCTGCACATTTGCCTACATGGCTGCCCATGCCTAAAATGCCCTTGCCCTGTCCTTTCCAGTATGCATAACTCGCTCTTCCATCACAGCACTGATCAAATGTGAACTTTTCCTATCTGATTCGGACAGTCCCTTCTCTAATTCCTCCATATGCTCTCCCAGCACTAGTCTGACTAGTGTGACTCTGGTTGACTGCAAGCTTCTTTAAGGCAAGAACCACACCCCCAATAAGAGTCCCATTTGGAGTAGAAGCTGGGAGGATCCCAGTTTGAGGCTGGTGCTCTAACACTTGAGTCACGGCTCCATTTCTGGCATTTTGCTGGTTTAAGTGGAGATAAGAGTCTCTCAGGGGCTGGGAAGGTGGCTCAGTGGTAGAGTGCTTGCCTCGCATGCATGAGGCCCTGGGTTCGATTCCTCAGCACCGCATAAGCAGAAAAAAAACGGAAGTGGCGCTGTAGTTCAAGTGGCAGGGCGCTAGCCTGGAGCTGAAGAGCTGAGGGGCAGCGTCCAGGCCCAGAGTTCAGCCTCCACAACCAACAAAAAAAGAAGTCTCAGACTTTCTTGCCTGGGTCGGCTTTGATCTGTGATCCTCCCAAGTAGCTAGGATCACGGATATGAGCCTCCAGTGTCTGGCTCTGATGTCTGACCCTTTAACTGTACAATGCAGAAGGACCAATCTCCAGACAGGGCAAAAGCTTGGCCCAGACCACAGGCAGGAATCGCTGGACTGGGCTTGGTGTCTCACCAAGGGCTCTACAGCTAGTTGCAGCATTCAGGGTCTGAGGGCTCAGTAAGTTGGCAGCATCGGGCACAGTCTCAGGACACCCCTATGCCCTAAAGTCACAGCCACATAACACCTTTCCCATCTAGGATGGAGGCTGAGGCTGAGGAAAAGGCCGCTATGAGCTCTGGGAACGTGATCAAGTTGGGCCTGATCAAGTCTGTGCTGGTCAGTGCTGGCGGACCCTCCACAGCCTGTACCACACACAGTCTTCTTGGCAGCTGATCCTCAACCTTAGGCCAGATGTCCTTTCATTCTAGAATTCCACAGAGTTTAGAGAAAACATATCTCTGGGCTGGTGCTGGCACCTCAGGGACTATATTGGTTTTCTAATTTCCCCTCTGTTGCTTAAGACCTCACAAGGCTACAGCTTATATGGAGCCTACATTCCGTTTCTCTTCTCTCAGGAGAGCTAAAGCTCAGAGATGGCAAGAGCCTGGCTCAGGATGCACGACCAGTCAGTAGCTCAGCCAGGAGACTTGCAGCCAGGGTCTGGGTTCTAAGATCTACCTTGATTGAGGAGCCAGGATGATGCCCCACAATCCCATCTCCAGTCCTCCAGTCCTAGGGTCTGAGCCCTGTCCTCTGCTCCTAGACCTTCACTGCCTGGTGCAACTCACACCTGCGCAAAGCGGGCACGCAGATCGAGAACATCGAGGAGGACTTCCGCAATGGCCTCAAGCTCATGCTGCTGCTGGAGGTCATTTCAGGTAAGGGTGCACATAATGTGCCCAAGGGAAACCTGGGGAGCCAGGGAAATGGTGGCCACAGAGGGCTGGAAGCAACTTGGGGTGGGGGAAGGGCAGAGATGGGGGACAATGTCTTCAGCTGCCTTATGACCTTTGACACTTGACCCCTCTCTTCATATGCTCAGGAGAGCGGCTACCCAGACCAGACAAGGGCAAAATGCGCTTTCACAAAATCGCCAATGTCAACAAGGCCTTGGACTTCATTGCCAGCAAAGGGGTTAAATTGGTGTCCATCGGCGCTGAAGGTGAGGAGGGGGAAGGAAGGCACTGGGGCAGGAAGGTGAGTAAGGGACTCTCTTCTTTGTCTCCTCTATGAGCCTCGGT